GGGGCCTGGGCCGGACACGTCTGTACGCGGGGCGCCGCGGCCCGAGCCCCCACAGGAAGCCGGCTCCGCGCGTTTCCTCCGCGCTCACAAAGCTGGGCCCCAGTCTCCCCAAATCTCCACCCTCCAGGCCCAGAGCCCGGAGGGGCTGCAGAGGGGGGCTGGGCATTCTCCTTCGCTAGTCTTAAACTCTGCAAAAGTTTTTGGAAAACCAGGAGAAAGAGAGAGAAACCACTGTGAACACAACCATCTCTGGTCAGTTGTCTGAATAATTGTGGCCCCCAGATCTCGTCCCAAAGATAGGAGTGATTAATTTCCTCAGGCGCTCTTTGTCCACCTCCTCCGTCCCGCTTGGGGTCCTAAGCCGGGTGCTCGAGGTCTGGAGCTCACAGACGTCGCGCCCACCCCTCCAGAGGCTGTTCCTCCGGGAAATCCGGTTAGTGTCTAGCTAGCCTTCCGCGTCCTCCAGCAGCCCCGAGCATCCCTAATCCCCTCAACCCCTGCCAGCTGCGCGTGGGAATTCGTGTAAGAAAACCAATTTTGGAGGCGAAGAGAGCTCCTCCGAGTTCAACCCTCCTTTTGGCTCCAGACCGGACTCCGAGGCCTTCTAAGTTGCGGGCGCGCGGGGAGAGAGAAGGGAAGGGGCCCTTGCAGGCGGGGACAGCTGGGCGGCACATCTGGAATTGTGAGCTGGGTCCCTCCTCAGGGCCATGGGAGTAGGAAGGAGCCGCCGCCAGGCAGAACGAGGGAGTCCAAGGACCCGCAGCGTAACCCCGGGACCAGGTCCCCGAGGATGAGCGAGGGCACGGAGCCTGCGGCCCGCCGAGTGGGACTGGGCGGGCCGGTGAGATGATCCTCGGGTGGGGCCGCCCGCTGGGGTGACAGCGTCTCGGCCACACTTGACCGGGCCGCCTCGTAGCCCTGTCTGGGCTTCCCACCACGAGGGCCAGTGAGCAATTAGGGAGGCGGCAACGGCGCCAGGACAGTTCTCCTAGACCCGCGGAAGTGGGGGGCTGGGACGCGGGGATCGAGTGAGGGACTCTCCCACCCCCTGCCGTAGCTACTTACTGCGCTCGAAGGTCCTCGCGGCGCCGTCGTGGCCAGGACCGCCGTGGCCCCCACGGCGTCCGCGGCGCTCTCGCCCGTGTCCCCGCGACGAGCCCAGGTGGCTGCAGCTTAAAGAGGGAGCCCCAGACCGGGAGGAGGGGGTCTTGCTCCCGGGGCCGGGCCGCCTGCTGCGGGGACCTGGCCTGGCGCCCCGGGAGCCAGCAGCGATCAGGCTGCTGTGTGGGAGCTCTGGAAACGGGGTGGACTCCCCCTTCCTGGCAAGGGCTGAGTCACCGGGACGCACCCGCGCCGGGGCTTGGAGACTGCTGCATTCTTACCGGCTTACCTGGGCCCTAAGGCTGGGCCTCACACGCCTCCGAGGGTGGGATGGGAGGAAAGGCGGGGGTAGGTGGGTGGATATTGTCTCCAAGGGAGCCCCCACCGCCTCTCTCTGTCCTCTCTTGCATGTAGCACCCCTTCGACCACAGCATTTAGCGCTACACCCCTGCCCGTTTCTCAGTCTCTATCCAGGGCCCCCAAACTCTGGATCAGCCCAGTTCCCAAGCTTTACTGTCCAAAGTCTCCTGCTGAGCTCAAAAAAGTCCTCTGAATCTGGCCCAGTACTAACTAATATGTCTGGTTTGTTGGAAATGTAAAATATGCTTTAAATTTAATCCCACATGCTGGTTATACAAGTGTGCTCAGTTTGTGAAAATTCAGCAAGCTGAACATTTAAAGTACATGTGTTTTTCTTGGTGTGACGATTACACTTGAATAAAAGTTTTAAAAAATCAACACCCATGACAATCAACATTCCACCACAGAGTATGATAGGGTGTGATGGCCAGGTGATGGGCCTTGGCATGAGTCTCCAGTTCAGATCCCAGCTGCACTACCCATGAATTTCCTTGGGGAAGTTCCTTCACCTCTCTGAGCCTTAGGAGGGATGAACATTGGGGTCTTCGATGTGGAACCCAATCATTTCATTGTTATCTAGGACCAGGACTAGGATGAGGAAGATGGGGCACTCGCCTGGGCTACAAAATTTAGGAGGGTACCAAGATAAATAGCATTGTGGTCCAATATTTTAAAAAACCAAATCAGCCAATTACAGACCTGCCAGTCTATTTTTTATTGGAACCTATTGTATTTGGACCGGGGCTGGGATTAAGGTGAAGTAAGTGATCTAGGATCTGCAAGTTCAGGGTTAGATCCTGTCTTTACTCAAAATGCTGGCATTTTGTTCATCATGGATTTTTTTGGTATCGATTTTGATTTTTATAGATATTGCAGGAAAATATTATTTATCTTGATTACTGAGTATTTTGATACCCCTTTAAGTTTTGCACCTGAGCCAAGTACCTTACTCACTCTAAGCCTTATAAATCTCACCCTAGTCCCTGGCCAATTACCGCCTCTTCCTGAAGGACCTGGCTAGGACCCAAGGGTAAATGAGCAGAGGCTGAAGTTGCCCCCCACCACACACACGCACAACATTAGGTAGGCTTTACCCAGGCCCAGCTTAGCTTCCCTGGGGCCCACTGATCAGAGTAAAATGAAACATCCTTACAATGGCCTTCAAGCTCCCTGAGCTGGGCTCTACCTGCTTTGGCCTTCATCTCCCTTGTTCATTCCCTTCCAGCGCTGCTGCTTCCTGAATTTGTTTTTCAGTTTGCCTCATGTGCTTGTCTCAGGGCCTTTGCACTTGCTCTTCCCCTGCCCAGAATGTGCTTCCCCTAGATATTCACATGACCCCCTTCCTCATTTTCTTATTTCCTCTGTTTATGTCCCCTTCTCAGAGAGGCCATCACAGACCCCTCACTCTCTGTCTCTTCACACAACTCGGTTTTTCTTCATAGACCCTTTCACTACTTTTTCTATTACATATTTGCTTATTTATTGGTAGAATGAAAGCTCCAGGGGAAAGTGGGCTTTGTCTTGCCTGCTAGTATACGGCCTATGGCGTATGTCTGCCACAGAGAGATCAATAAATATTTTGCTTCATAGATGACGGAAGACAGAAGGCCAGAGAGGGGAAGGGGCTAATGTAAGTGAGATAGTGGCAATATTTTACTAAATCCCAGGTTTCCAGACTACCGACTCACTAAATCCCAGGTTTCCAGACTACCAACTCAGTGCTCTTTCCTGTCTCCTGGGTTCATCCTCATCTCCCGACCCCAAGAGCCCTCCAGGCAACCAAGGGTGACAGTGATCCTGCATAGCTCTCCTATACAGTCCTTTCCACACGATGCACTCACCAGGCCTGGCACTGCTTCAGCCCCTGGCGTCCAACCCGTCTGGCGTCCAGCAGGCATGCACAGCTCTTCCTGGCTTCCTGTCTCTGGCACAGGGCCAGTCGGCGGCTGGGCTGGGTTCCACAGCTGGACCACAGCTGTGGTCTCCGCCTTGCCCTGGAGAATGGCTGACAGCACACTGTGGCGCAACCTCCCTGTAGAGGGCTGTGCAGAGGGGAGTGTGTTTGTATGTAGTGAGGAGAGGCTGCTGGGTAGGGACTGAGATCTCCGGGTTCCCTTCCTGATGGGCACTGGGTGAGGAATGGGACTCTAATCCGCCCCCTTCCTGAAGGAAATGGCATGCAGTGGGATGATGGGGGCTCTCGGTCCCAGGCCTCATTCTAGCCCTCTCTTCTAGTCCTTGTGATGGGAGATAACAGTGCTGTGTCCCATTCAGCAACTGTCTGTCAGTTGGGTATGTTCCGTATGCCAGACCCGTGCTAGATATTTCTAGATTTGTTGCTTCCTTTAATACACACCCAGTCCAGAGAGTTATTATTTCCATTTTACAGGTGAGGAAACTGAGTCACAGTGAGGTGAAGGACTTGCCCATGGCTGCACAACTAGTAGTAGGTGGTCCTGGGACTTATACCACATTTTCTGAGGCCAAGTGTAGTGCGCATTCTAATTCCTGATATGGCCTTTAGCCCATGTAGAGAACTATGATATTCCTATCTGCCCAAGTTGGAGACATGGCCCTGTGCATCCCTCCTCTGTCTCATTGGTAACTGGAGTACCAGGAACTTGGCAGAGGATAGTAGAAAGAGTGGAGTTTGGTTTGGTGTCATGGAGACTCATTTTTCATCCTGGCTCACTCACTTCTACCTAGCTATGTGATTTCTGGACAAATCATTTGAACGCTCTGAGCTTCCAGTTCTCCTGTGTAAACCTGGGATAATAGTTCCTATCTCTCAACTCAGGGGAGAACTGAGCGAGCAACTGGTATAGCATCATCAGCGCTCAGTAAATGTTAACTCTTGCCCTATACTTCCCTCCACCATGCCCATTCAGCAGCAAGGAAGCATCAGAGGGAATGTCTATTATTGTGAATTTTATGTACAAACCCTTAGACATTGCTTACTATGCAGTAGAAACACTTTACACAAATGTACCAGTTTAATATTCACGGTATTAAATATCAATTAATATTAAATACTTATTTTCCCTATGTCACAGAGGAGAAATAGGGAGGTTAAGCAATTTGCTTAAGCCCCACAGCCTTCCACATCATCCCCTTTAACACCATCTTCCTTGGTGGGGGGAGGTGGGTAAGGTCCTCAGGGATTCTCTACTCTCAGTTGAGGTCTCTTCCCTTTCATCTCCATCATAAGTTAATGAAATCTGAGCTATTAATCATGCATACATGTCCTCATGCAGAGGCTTCCAAACTTTTATTTTAGTAGTTCAACTTTAAAACAATTATAAATAAATCTATTAAAAATTTCTGGACAGTGCCAGCATTTGATAGATTTTGTTTTTTAGAACAGTTTTAGCCTCCCCACTATCAACATCCCACACCAGAGGGCTACATTTGTTACAATCGATGAATTTACATTGTCACATTATTATCACCCAAAGTCCATAGTTTACATTAGGGTTTACTCTTGGTGGTGTGCATTCTGTGAGTTTTGACAAATGTTTAATAACATGTATCCAACATTATAATGTCATACAAAGTTGTTTCACTGCCCTAAAAATCCTCTGCGTTTCACCTATTTGTCTCTCCCTGCTAACCCCTGGCAACCACTGATCTTTTTACTGTCTCCATAGTTTTGCCTTTTTCAGAATGTCGCATAGCTGGAATCATACCATGTAGACTTTTCAGATTGGTTTCTTTCACTTAGTGTAGATTTTATTTTTTAGAACAGTTTTAGGTTTATAGCAAAATTAAGTGGAAAGTATAAAGATTTTCCGTATACCCCTTGCTTGCACAAAGGCACAGCCTCCCCACTATCAACAACCCACACCAGAGGGCTACGTTTGTTACAATCAATGAATTTACATTGTCACATTATTATCACCCAAAGCCCATAGTTTACATTAGGGTTTACTCTTGGTGGTGTGCATTCTGTGAGTTTTGACAAATGTTTAATAACATGTATCCAACATTATAATGTCATACAAAGTTGTTTCACTGCCCTAAAAATCCTCTGCGCGTCACCTATTTGTCTCTCCCTGCTAACCCCTGGCAACCACTGATCTTTTTACTGTCTCCATAGTTTTGCCTTTTTCAGAATGTCGCATAGCTGGAATCATACCATGTAGACTTTTCAGATTGGTTTCTTTCACTTAGTGATATGTATTTAATGTTCCTCCATGTCTTTTCATGGCTTGGTGGCTCATTTCTTTTTAGCATTGAATAATATTCCGTTGTTTGCATGTACAACAGTATTTATCCATTTTCCTACTAAAGACAACTTAGTTGCTTCCAAGTTTTGGCAATTATGAATAAAGCTGCATAAACATTTATGTGCAGGTTTTTTGTGTGGACATAAGTTTTCAGCTCATTTGAGTAAATACCAAGGAGTGTGATCGCTAGATTGTATGGTGAGAGTAGGTTTAATTTTGTAAGAAGCCACCAAACTGTCTTCCAAAGAGGCTGTACCATTTTGCATTCCTACCGCAAAGAATGAGAGTTCCTATTGCTCCACATCCTCACCAGCATTTGATGTTGTCAGTGTTCCAGATTTAGACCATTTTAATAGGCGCGTAATGGTGTCTCACTGTTGTTTTAACTTGCATTTCCCTGATGACCTAAGACAGGAGCATTTTTTTATATACTTGTATGCGGTCTGTATGTCTTCTTCAGTGAGGTCTTTTGCCCATTTTCTAGTTGAGTGATTCACTTTCTTATTGTTGAGTTTTAAGTGTTTTTTTTTTTTGTATATTTTAGATAACAGCCCTTCATCGCATATGTCTTTTGCAAATATTTTCTCCCAGTTTGCAATTTTTCTTCTCATTCTCTTGAAAGTGTCTTTTACAGAGCAGAAGTTTTTAATTTTAACAAAGTCTAGTTTATTATTT